ATCTACTTTGCATTTGTTTCTAATAAAAATTTCATGATATTTCTTTATTAATGACATTTTTCATTTTTTTACTTGTTCAAGTTTTTTTAAACAACATTGTATATTCTCAGATACATTAGTATACTCTACAATGTGTATTGTTCCTTTTCATCTATTTCAATCATTCTCTTCTTTGCGGTCATTAAAATTAATTTTATAATTAAAATTAAATGTTTATCTTAAAAATAGTAAAAGGTTCTATTTCATATAATAACTCGTGTTTATTATCAATAAATTTGCTATTTTAAATGGTTTAAAAAATTCTTTTTAAATTTTACTTATACGCAACTTATTTTCTTAAAACATAGCGTTTCTTGAGTGTAAATACTTCATATGAGCGTTACAATCTGAAACAAACAATGTCATTGTTTCAAAAATATTATAAAAGAAAATTAAAGCAAATAAATTACAGTTTAATAATAGTTTTTTATTATAGAAACAACAAAGATTTTTAAAATGATAAGAGAAACAATATGTTAATAAATTTACTTAATATAAATTTATAGAGTATACTTTATTTGTTAAATACAAATATGAATCATTAAATTTGTTTGTCATACATTTTGTTAAAATTATAATTGGAAATGAAATCACTTTTTATGAATTTCTTAATTGTGTTTTTAAAAAGTACTTGTGGACATTCTGTCCACGTGCGCTGAATTGCAGGTAACTCTCAAATATTGATTTTATTTTAATTTTCAATTTATTGTTACTCATTCTTAATTCTTGGGGTGAAGAATTTTTAAAAATTAAAATTTAAAAAATAGAATGTTCTAAATTTAAATTTTATCATTGGTGGGTTGATCATTAAGACAATCACCACACTCTGCCCTTTCCTCTTTAGGTCTCACCCTTCTAATATTTACAAGACTCTTTTTAAGTTCATTTTCAATCCAAACAGTTTGATTATCATTTAAACTTGTTATTTTAAATGGGCCATTCCATTTGTTTGCATATTTATCAAGCTTCTCATTCTTTAAATAAACAGTCTCTCCAATTTGATGTTCATATTTACGATATTTATCAGTCATATTTTCAGCTGATTTCTGTTTAAAATAGTCAGATCTTGTTATTACTTCACTTCTATCAATTTTAATTACTCTCTGTAAAGGGTCAAATACAGAGATGTTATTGGTAAACTCACTAGGTGATAATCCTATCATGCGATTATAACAATTATTTAAACAGAAATTAATTACTGAATTACCTTTAATATTGAGATGCCAATGTTACAACTAAGCATTCTTTTAAGCACTTGATTAATCCTCTCTGAAGTACCGTTAGCTTCAGGATTATATGGAGTAGTTAATGAATGTTTCACATTATTAGAAGTTAGATATTCAGACACAACTTTACTCTTATACTGCGTCCCACAATCAGTGATTATTCTCTCAGGTTTACCATACATTTGTATCCATTTATCAATATAATACTTCACTGTTTCACTATCAATATTTCTTATTAAGAAAGCTATTGAAAAACGTGAATGTAAGTCAGTAAATGTTAAAATGTATACCTTTCCACCTTTTACTTTTGAGGTTGGAAATCTTGCAATTTCTATTGGCCCATAAATATCTGATGAGACAATCTGAAATGGCATCTCAGGTGTCTTTATTATAGATACCTTACCATATTTTGGACTCTTATGTTTAAATTTTTGACAAAAGTCACAATTTTGCAGTGTTTCGATAAATTTCTTATCCATACCTTTAAAATAGTAGAACCTATTAACTGTTTTAACACATGATCCAGGTCCTAGATGTCCTAATAACGAGTGGACTTTATTAATAAATTCAATTTCTAAACTCTTTGGAATAAAAATTTTGTCATCTTCTGTCACATAAATCATTATGTCTAATTTAAGCTTAATTTGTTTAAAACCATTTTGATTTTTTAACCCTTCATTAGACTGTTCAGATGAAATTACAGTGAGAAGTAATATTTCAACAAAGGTTTCTTGAATTAGGAATAATCTAGAGAGCCCATCAGCAACTATATTATCAGTTCCTTTATTGTATACTAATGTATAGTCATACTCCGACAGTAAAATTCTCCATTTATTCACTCTGTTAGAAAGATCATTTCTTTGAAATGTAAGGTTAGCATGATCAGTCTTTATGATTATTTTACTTCCATAGATAATCTTTCTAAACTTTTGCACAGTCCTTAGGATGGCTAACATCTCTTTTTCCATTACTGTGTAGTTGCACTCTGATTTACTCAAATGTTTACTGAAATAACCAATTTCCTTGTTCTCCTGCTTTAGAATTCTGCCAATTGCATAATCTGAAGCATCAGCTTCAATGATAAATGGTTTATTCATGTCTGGTCTGTATAGAAGCACTTGAGTTTTGATATCTTTTATTATGTCATTAACTAATTTAGTATCATTTTCATCCCAATAGAACTTCGTTTCTTTACAAATTTTCTTGTTAAGTGGTATTATTCTTTCGTTCAGGTTTCTTATATATGGTCGGAACCATTCAATGAACCCAATGATACTCTTACACATTCTTTTATTTCTTGGAGGTAATTTTAAAGTAATATTATCTATTCTAGTTACATCAGGTCTCACTCCTTCGTTGTTAATAATACATCCGAGGTATGAAACTTCTGATACACCAAAGCTGGATTTTTCGAAGTTTACACTGACATTATGATCGCGTAATATTACTAATATCTGTCTAAGATGATTGATATGTTCCTCTCTTGTTGCAGAGTGCACAAGAATGTCATCCAAAAACACCTTGACATAAGGTAAATCATGAAGTATATTAGCCATTACTCTCTGAAATACTCTAGGTGCCGTTTTGATTCCAAACGGAACTCTTGTATATTCGTATTGACCCCAAGGCAATACGAAAGCAGTAAATTGACAATCACTATCTCTTATCCTCATGTTATGGTAGCCCATACTGAGGTCGATTTGACTCATATATCTTGCTTCCTTTACTGAATTTATCTGATCCCACAACTCTGGAAATGGAAAACCTGTATCTTCAATCTTATCATAAATCTACAACTAATCTCGTCTTACCATTCTTTTTTGTAATACAAAAAGCTGGCGAACCATAATTACTATTACTCTTACGTATTATACCTAATTTTTCTAGTCTATTGATCTCATTTTTAAGAACATCATATTGTTTGTATGGCACTGAAAATGGTGTACTACGTATAGGTTTAGTATCATTCATTTCAATGGTAAATTCCACATTTGGAATCATTCCAAGTTCAGGATTCAATTCCTTAAATTCCTTTACTATATTTAGGATGTTTGTTCTAAACTCTCTATCTTCTTGAAGATGGAACAACCCTGGTATATTAATTATCTCAGCATCAGGTGTTTCGTTCCACTCTTTTAATTCAGTTTCCCTAATAAAAATAGTTTCATTCTCACATGTCAAAGTCATATCATTTAGATCTATTTTTATTCCTTGTTCCATAAGGAATTGTAGTCCTAGTATAACTTCAGCATGCAAGTCTTTTACTACCCTAAAGTTTCCTTTAAAAATTGTATGATCAATACCCTTAATTAATATATCTGTTTTAACAGATCCTAAGGATTGAATAATGTCACCATTAGCTAACCTTATTCCAAGTTTCTGTGAACCGCTAAAATTTAGGTTGCTACGAGCACAGATTTTATCAGATACGTAATTTACTGATGCACCTGTATCTAATACGGCATTATACTCTTCTTTACCAATCTTTATAGGTACTTCTATCGAGTTTATCTTAGAACATGGTTCTATTATCATATTATTGGTCACCGATGAGTTTGAATTATTCTTTGATTCATTCAAACTTTTCTTTGAATCACTCTTACTTTTGCTTTTCTTCTTTAATACTGAAAAGCATTCAGATGTATTATGTGTGGCATTACTATGTTTAGTACACCACTTAGTTTGTTTATTAGTATCATTCGTTGGCTGGGTTATTGTTTGTTGATTAGTTATTTCTTCATCATTAGAAATTCTTTCAAAATTCATTTGAATGATAACTCCCTCCATGCCTTGTATCTTTGTAATTGCTTCATCTTTCGTTGTAATCTCTTTTTCTAGCAAGTACATCTTGGTAGATGGTTCAAGATTCTCAAAGAAAAGTTCTTCCAATTTGCTATTTTGTTGTGCCTTTGTAATAGAACAACTAATAAAATATGCTTGAAGTGCTTTACATTGTGTTTTAGAATAAGATGCTATGTAAGTGTAATCTCTCTGTCTTATTGCTTTAGCATTTGATAAAAACATCATCATTAATCTAGAAGGATACTTAAGTTTTAATATTGCAAATAGGCATGTTTCTACTGTTCTTAACGATGATATTTCTTGTCTGATCTCTTTAGACACCATACTTCTAAGTACTTGAAGTGCTGCCGCTTCTTCCCATTTAGCCAGAACTGAAACATCTCTGAATTCACTAACCCATTCGAAGACATCTTGTATTTGTATGTTATCTAAAGGATATAACTCTCGTTTTAACTTTAGGTCTGTACCCTCAATCAAATATTCTACTAATATGGGTCTTTGCTCTGACCTATAAATTATATTCTCATTAGTTTCATCATTAATACAGGATAAATTTATCCTATGGACATTCTGTCCACGCGTGCTGAATTGCAGGTAACTCTCAAATATTGATTTTATTTTAATTTTCAATTTATTGTTACTCATTCTTAATTCTTGGTGTGAAGAATTTTTAAAAAATAAAAATTAAATTATAGAATGTTCTAAATTTAAATTTTATCATTGGTGGGTTGATCATTAAGACAATCACCACAGTACTAATAAAAATTAATTGAGGTTGAAAGTCTTTTTTTAACAACAACCATTTTTCTATAATTTTTAAAACATATTTAAATAAAAATTAGTTAAAATATATTTATTGAATTTTTGAGTAGTATTTTAAGAGTATTGTTGATAAAAAAATAAGTAATAAAAGTTTTGATATTATTGCTTTTATTTGTGCCGAAGCTAAGAGTGGAGGATGTTGAAGTAAGTTTATTAATTGAGGATTCACTGTCCGCTATATATATTCCTTTAAAGGTTTCCCTTATGTCTTCATTTGTATCTATGTCTGTTGTTTCATTTACGTTGTCTTGTTTACTTGGTCTGTTGTCTTCCAATTCTGTTGTCTTCCAATTTCATGGGTAAAAATTTTTAAACAAAATAAATCTTTACATCAAATTTTTACAAAAGAAATAAAATGAATAAATATAACTTAATAAACTACAGATTTTTGTTAAATTGCAGTAGTTAAGATACTGCAATTTGTATTATAGATTATTTATTATATTGAAGTTATTGTAAAGTTTAAAATTACTCAAATATTTATTTAAAGAAGATTCAAATATACTAAAAAACAAAATATGATTTACAATAGAAACGAAATGAAAAAATTTAAAGGTTTTTCTATATTTATTAAAAAAAATTTATAAAGTGAAATTGTTATCTTTTTAGTTGAAAAAAAATTAATTATATACAATTTAAGTTAAAATATAACATATTAAAGATTTTTTATATAAATTATTTCTAAAAAATAGAAAAAAATAATTTTTCAAAAGTTTAGATAAAAATAACATTTATATTTTTAATATGTCAACGTAAATAAATTAATTTTTTTAATAAAAAAATCAGCTTTAAGAAAAACTGTTGATAATAAGAACCAACTATAAATAAATTTATCAATACTGAAACTAAACTCTTTTTAAAAAACATTGTTTTTAAACTGATTTTACTTTATCATTTTCATATTAAAAAACACAATTGATGTTTTTTATTTAAATCAATTTTTTAAAATCAAAATTGTTTACTTTTGAAAACCAAATGAATCTTTTTCTCAAAATATTTCAAAACATAATTGATTTAAATTAAAAATAACAGTGTAAATTTTTTAAAAAATTTAGTTTTTATTATTTGAGAAAGTTAAGATGAAATCTTTAATAAAAATTGTAATTTTTGATAATCAAAAAATTATCGCGCTTATAGTTGTTAATTTTACTACCCAGTTATAAGTTTTTTGTTTATTCTTAATAATATATTGCTTACTTTTTTTAAAAATTTTCTTTGTTACTAGTTTTTTAATAGAATTCATAGAAATAAAAACTTTAAATTTAGAATGTTATTTTTCTGATGTTGATGTAACAAAAATGAAATAAAACACATGTTTTTTATTTAAATGTTATTAAATTAATTAAAAATTACATTTACGATTTTCATGATTTATTTGAAATAGATAATAAAAAAAGTCGTTAAATCAAAAATTTAAAATTTAAAAACCCCTTATGTTGGTAGAACTAATTATAAATATTTTGATAAGAACTATTAAAATAATATTTAGTACAAATGATACAGATGATGATAGTGAAATGAAATTAATATATGAAATAGCAGAGTTTATGATAAAAATGGGATCATCCAGAGGAGCATATTCTTCAAATGAAGATAGAAGTCAAATTACCTCTAAAACTAAAAATGATGATCACAATTATTGTAAACAAAAACTTCAATTTATTGAAATATCAGATGATAAAATAGAAATAAATAATCAAGTACAAATCGAAAAAACACAACAAAAAAATGATCTTCAATTCATAAAAGAAACTGATAAATCTGAATTGGTTAACCCAAAATATGATTTACCAAATCCTTCCACAGATCAAAAAAATTTGCAAGATATTAGAAACAATCAAATGATTACGAAAGAAAAAAAATCAAATGATTTAACTGAAGAAAAATCTACTTATGTTTCTAAAAAATCTTATAAAAGAACTGCAAAAAGTAATAAAGGAAGAGGTATTAAGAAAAGAAAGATTGATTCAAAAATCTATAATAAAACAATGTCTGAATATTCAGAAAAGTATTCTTGTGAAGAAATACACGAATCAGTATTTTTTATAAATGATGAGAGTGTTTCTAAATATAAATCAAAAAAATTTAAAAATTATATTGTAGGACAGTATTCTCAACTTGAAAAATCTTCTTATTTTTTAAATTTATTAGAAAGGTCAAACTTAATGATTTGTGTTTTTAACGAATTTAACTTTTATGATAAAGAAGATGTTAAAACCGTTGAATTGAATGCTCGTTATCAAAAAGTTAAAGAATTTGATCATAGTTTTATAAATACTTCTAGAAAATTTTTAGAAAGGATAGCTTTTTTTATTGAAGTTTATTATAGATATAAAAATGCAATATGGTTATTTCGACATGATAAAAAATATAAACAAAGTTTAAACTATGTATTAAATAAAGCAAAATTAATAGACATTGAATTACCAGAAATAGAATTTATAGAGGGTGAAAATCACAACATGCTTTTATTAAAAGGATTAATAACAATTATTATTGAAGCACAAAAAATTGTTTTAAAAGATTTTTTAGAAACTCCTTCTGATGAAATCCTTTCTTATAAAATATTTTCTGATATACAATTTAACGAATTAATTATTAAACTAGATAAAATGATTAAACCAAAATTAAAAGAAAAAAATTCAAAAGAAAAAAAATTTTTTAATAAGCTTTATAAAGAATTTTTAAATCCAATTCTTAAATTAAATAAGGAAAAAAAATTATATTTAAATAAAGGTCCACTAAAAATCAAAAAAAGATTTTGTGATAATTAATTTATTAATAAAATTTTTTAATTTAAATGATTGTAAAAATTATTTAAAATTATCTAAAAATTGTT